CTAAATCCTTGAGCAAATTGCATCAGTAATGTCAGCATTGTAATTTAAGACAATGAACCATCTGAAGACGTCTCTCTTGAAATGTCCACTTGTGCAAACTGAGCTTTCACCCACGACTTGCAAACAAGAACGCACTGTAGAAACATGCTGACATCAGCATATATGCGCTGCAATAAATGAGTCCCTTGTTTTTACTGTTCCGCTTTTTCTCCTTTTGCATCGCCATCTCAAAGCCCTGAAGGCCGTGACAGCTCAGTGTCTGGAGAAATGTCCTGCATGATAGAGCAGCTCAGTAAAGAAATGTTACCGAGCTCGGTTTGAGGGTCCCCTGCTGAGCAACTAGACGAAGCTGAGGCAAGGTGTGTGTGTGTGTGTGTGTGTGTGTGTGTGTGTGTGTGTGTGTGTGTGTGTGTGTGTGTGTGTGTGTGTGTGTGTGTGTGTGTGTGTGTGTGTGTGTGTGTGTGTGTGTGTGTGGTGTGTGTGTGTGTGTGTGTGTGTGTGTGTGTGTGTGTGTGTGTGTGTGTGGTGTGTGTGTGTGTGTGTGTGTGTGTGTGTGTGTGTGTGTGTGTGTGTGTGTGTGTGTGTGTGTGTGTGTGTGTGTGTGTGTGTGTGTGTGGGTGCCACTGCCACTGGAAAAGGCACAGTCGCAAACAAACCCAACTGGACACACAACTGGAATAGCAAAATGCAAGCACTTTCAGAAGCCCCATTCCTCAATCTCTTGCTATGCATAAAATACATTTATTTACTTAACCTCACTGGGTTACGTTGTTAAAGAGATAGATGGAGAGAGCGAGAGGGGGGGAAACTTCCCGTCAGTTGTTTATGTTGTTGAAATCAGGGCAGGAGAAGAAGCAGGCGCGCTCGCTCGGATCCGCAGAATAAGATGACCTATTTTGAACACACGCTGGGAGACGAGGCACTCTGAACCTTATCTGAACACCACAGAGACTCAGAACTCGACATATATAATGTGTGCTTTTTGCATCAGTGTCCCATCATAAGTCATCGACCTTTCATTTAGATTAATTTGTGATGTATCTGTACTCAATGACCCCTCAGTTTCAACAACCTCTGCTGGACGCTTTTGAACCAGACGGACAGTAGACTATACATAAATCAATCTATGAATCGATAACAAACGTTCTTCCATGAGGCGATTAGCTTGATGAAGTTAACCTTCATGAAACAAGGTGATCATTGCCAGTAAGATTGTGTATCCCAGGTCCCTGGTGTCATTGTATGGGTTATATTTTCATTTTTGCCTTTATTGCTGTGTCAAATGTTGAGGCTCATGCTTAATACTTTTGAAATAGGTTGACTTTGCATCTGTACATCCATCCCAATAGCCCTATGTGCATCTTGAGTGATTCCACATCTCACAAAGTATGTCCAATGCCAATATTCAGTACAAGAAAACCTTAAGAATAGGGTATTTTCCCATAACCACAATCTTCCCCTAAGATTTACCATTCATGAATTCAACTATCTTTTTCTTTTTTGGATCTTTCACCTCTTCAATCTTTCTTAAACTGCTTAAAACGCTTTTCCTCACTCAGGCTATAACCTGGAACAATACTTATTCTTCATTATTAAAAACGACAAACCAAAAAGTCTCGGAGCTGTTGTGCTGAAGGAGTGTTGGCTGACTGAGTAATGTTTTTTTTCTGATAATCTATTTTGTACATTTCTGACTTGTTGGTGGTGATTAGTGGTCATGAGGCGTGTCTGTTTTTCTGTGCGTGAACTTGGTTTCTGGCAGCTAGGGCTAACAGACTCCCTTGTTAACAGAAAATCACCACATATACAAATTAGGACTTTCTGCCTCGCAAACAAGACTAAATATTGTCAAGCCACATTCTAGGTTGATAACTTTTTAAGATAAGTCTGTGTTGACCGTCTTCATCATCCAATTTTCGAAAGGCCACGGTTTTCATTGTGTCCTGTGTTCTTTTTTTCCAATACAGGAAGGTTTCCAATGAAAGCGTTATTTCTTATTTTCATCAAATCCCATACTAATACCAAAACCAATCATATGTTCTCACAGTACGGCTTTGGCTGTACAAGCAGGTCTTAGCAGCATGTTGGTTTGGCATTTGTTGACTAGAAGTCAAATATATATGGCAGACATTATCCGTTAAAAACACATGTAAAGGTTGTCAGCAGTTACTTTGTCCGGGATCCTCAGCAGGCACATGCACCCTATTGGACACCTTTAAAGCTGCATGGACAGAATCTGGGCATATACACGTCTTCCTCCGTATTTTTACTAAAAGACATGTGGCACACACAGCAGAGATGAGAAAGTGGAAGAGGCATCTGCACGCTAAGGTGTGCTCAGATTAAACAAGAAGGAGAGGTCTGATTAGAAATGCATGGAAAGAGAGGAGGAGGAGGGAGAGAGGTATAAAGAAGGTGTGTGTGTGTGTGTGTGTGTGTGTGTGTGTGTGTGTGTGTGTGTGTGTGTGTGTGTGTGTGTGTGTGTGTGTGTGTGTGTGTGTGTGTGGTGTGTGTGTGTGTGTGTGTGTGTGTGTGTGTGTGTGTGTGTGTGGCAATGAGACTGAATCCTTGTGTGAATTACACTGCTGAAGAAGTGCATTAATAATAGATCAATTCTCCCTTTGTTTGTGACGTAAACGTGATGAGTGGGCCTTGTAATTGGTTAGTTTAATAACTGGCGAAAAAACAAGTGTTCTGTGCCTCATTCAAACACACACATGCAATTACACACCACAGAAGCATGCTGAAATTGTCAGACACTGGAACACACACACACAGATACCACACTCATGTCAGGGAGGCATTCAAACTCTGGCCTGTTTAATTTAGGTTTGGCAGATTATAGTAATTATGTTGAAGAAAAGAGTTTTCGAGAGCAATTTGCCCTTTTTCCGTCCTTGAAAAATGAAACCGTGCTAGCTGAAGGATAATCATATTCACATTTTTCTACAGCTTGGAAAATATGTTTGCATAAATGTTGTGGAAGCATTGTTTTATGGCAACAATAATCTCTTTGATCATCCAAACCACACCCATAACTGTAAACCATCCTTTGTATTGAGGTGCAGAGCATGGTCATTATGTGTCTTTATGTGTTTGCGTTTGTGTGTGTGGCAGCAAATAGAAGCAGAGTGAAATTAGAAACACAAAGTATGTCATTGAACTGCACCTCTAGCCCCACTCTCTGTTCAGCAGTGCCTCTGAATAATGTGTGTGATGGAGAGAGGCGACTGTAAAGTACCCATGAAATTAAGACTCAGAACAGAGTTTCCTGTGTTTCTATGTTGGTGCAATGACAATGCAAACTGTCCTTGAAATTAAGATGTAGACCTGGAGACATTCCTGTGTGCCCGTGTGTGTGTGTGTGCATAACGTGTGTGTGTGTGTGCATAACGTGTGTGTGAGAAAGCAGAAAGCAGGGCTCTGAGTATTCTCAGCGTACTCCGGAGACAGGGGAGGGGGATTTGAGGAATCTTTCGAACACGCTGACAGCTTGTCAAGGCCCACCTACGTCTGTAATGAATTTCAGCCTTTTGTGGTGTGTGTGGTCCCTCTGCACTGATAAGCCCTGGCACTAATACTGTTAAGTGTGTGTGTGTGTGTGTGTGTGTGTGTGTGTGTGTGTGTGTGTGTGTGTGTGTGTGTGTGTGTGTGTGTGTGTGTGTGTGTGTGTGTGTGTGTGTGTGTGTGTGTGTGTGTGTGTGTGTGTGTGTGTGTGTGTGTGTGTGTGTGTGTGTGTGTGTGTGTGTGTGTGTGTGTGTGTGTGTGTGTGTGTGTGTGTGTGTGTCATCCATATGCACATTGAGGTATTTCAAGTATTCCTGTTTTATGGTTATTTATATTATCTATCTATTTTTTTACAATAATAATTCAGCGTTTGCCCCACAACATCATCAGGTCAGGTTGGATAGATGGTAAAAAAAAACTCAAGATATCACAATTTTTATACTTTTTTTAGGGTGACAACGATCCATACCGAACTTTAAACTCCATTGACCTGATTGGAAATAGTTTGTCCCTTTCCTTCACAGGTGCCATTTGTGTGCAGAAATATTTACTTTGACACCATAAGTACATTTGAGCTGATAGTTCTTCTGCTCTACTGTTCAAAATTCTGGACTTTTACTGAATCAAGTTTCAAAACCTCCAAATTCATTCTCATCTTGTGTAGTCTTGAAGGAATAATATATAAAATAAGTTCCCTGCCATCAAACACTGAATCTACACACACACACACCAACACACACACATGGTCGGGGTTGGCATGTATCTTTGTGCCTTGTCATCACATGCTCCGACTGAGCTCTAAATGTCACTTGTCTCTCTCCGCTTCATCTGCCTGACTCATTCTCCTTGGTGTGTGTGTGTGTGTGTGTGTGTGTGTGTGTGTGTGTGTGTGTGTGTGTGTGTGTGTGTGTGTGTGTGTGTGTGTGTGTGTGTGTGTGTGTGTGTGTGTGTGTGGGTGTGGGTGTGTGTGTGATGGACACAGCGTTGTCCCTCTGTACGGCGCTTGCAAGCACAATGATGCTCCCTGCATGGATTTTTTTTTTCTGACATTTTAGAATTATGTCCCCTCTCTTTTCATTCGTCCTCTCCCTCCCTCCTTCTGCCTTTTATCCTCTCTCTCTTATCTCCCCTCTCTCTTCTATTTTTCTAATTCCATCCCCCTGATCCATTTTTATGCCTCACTGTGCCCATGCTTGTTATCTCGGGCCTTTCTCTTTCTTTTCCTGTTTGATCTCAACTTCTTAATTTCCTCTCTCATCTACGTCACTCGGCTCGGTTGGGGTTTTGCTCCCCCCCCCCTCCTCCCTGCTCTCTCTGTGATGGTTTTCATTGTTTCTCTTTTTGCGCTCCTGTTTCGATCTTATTTTTCTCTTTCTTGCCATTTCTGATTTTTCTCAACCTCTTTCTCTGTCTGTCAGGAGCATTGTTTCTCCGTTTCAAACCCTCCTTTCTGTTATTTTCTCTCATTAATGTTCTGTATTCTTCTTCTGCAGCTTCTCTGGAGTGCACCCCATCTTCACCATAAACCGACAGAGGACGACTACCCAGTCAAAAAAAGAGAACGAGGACATCCACCGCCTTGGCCCCAGAACATCTGCCCAATATGTGATCGCCAGGAACAATCTCAGCCCTCTATCACCTTTGGTCTTCATCTTTATCCGATCTGGGGGAAAAAACTCTTCTTCCAAGCCACTTCTGAGAAGCTCCCACAGGTTCTGACTCGCAGTCCAAATACTCCTTACAGCTTCCTGGAATCTGACCAATAGTTTCCATTGCAGGCGTACCGTCTCCATTAATTTCTGACCTTTCCAGAAAGACCTTCACGAGCCCTCTCACGCTATAACTCCCCCACACTCCTCTCAGAAACACTCCCTTTTCCTCAAGATACACTCAGCCAAGCCCTTCCAACAACAATTCAGACCCAAGATTTAACATTTGCCTTGACTGGCTTTCCTTAAAGCGTTGTTACACGAGATAATCTCTGCATTATACGTGATTAATAGACATTTTCATGTGTGTGCTTATTGGCTTTAAGGGAAACCTACCCTACCCTTACAGTAAAAAGTAAAGTTTCTAATCCACTCCTACATGCAAACTTAGTCTATCTACTGTTCGTGTTATCTTAGGTCCTTCATTGTACCGAAGTGTGTATTTCCTCCCATGAGTACTATTTGTGCTTGTGCTGAGCTTCTGCCTTACTGAGAATGTTCAGTAGTTGCAAAATAATGACTATACACAACAATACTCCTCTCCGTCCCTAATTCTTCCTCTTCATCTCTTGCCGACCCACAATTGTAAACGTATGACCAATTAACACAACCATTGTGTGTTTATGTGCTCTCATTCTGTGCATAGGTTCTGTAAAATATGTCCTGGTGAAGTATCCATATCGCTGCCCACTTTTTTCCCTCTATATATATTGTGGATCACTTAGGGTAGACATTATCCCTGAGAGAAACTTCACTGTGAAAACAAACAACAGTTGGGGAATAAACAATGAACCTGGCATCACATTAGGTACGGTTGAGTTGGCTCCTCAGAAATGAACGCCATCGTTATGAAAAGCAATCTGAAGGAGATGAAGCAAAAAACGGGATGAACTGAAGGAAATTCCCTTGGTGTCCCTAAAAGCACTGTGTTAGTAGGTAAACCGGGAGAAAGGGAGTGGCTGAGAGGAGAAAAGGAACAGGCACAGCAGAAGGGCTTCGAGATGTTTCCACTTGAAACTCTGTACTGCTAATGAAGAGAGAAAGAGAAGAAAGACACATCACAGATAACAAAAGAAGAAGCTTTTTCATATCCTCCCCTCTGTTTGCTGACTCTTTTATTGCTTTGTCTGCTTTCCATCTCATAGCTTGAAACCATTTTTAGATGAGATGTATTGAAAATAGTCTAGAAAGGAGACGTGCTGTGCGCAAAAGCTCATCATAAAAATGTTGTCTCTTTCAGTCTATTAGAAAAATACAATATATTCTATTCATCTCTGTTGAAAAACTCCAAATCTCTGCTGTCAATGTGAATAATGGCCACTCACTGTTGATATTATTGGTATTTTAACTGCACTTAAAAGCACATGTGTCTGTCGCCATACAAAACAGCTGTTACCATCATCAATTTATTTTATATGACTGTAAATACATATAATCCTGAAGCCGTTATAACGACCTCGCAATATTTGATGCTGAAATGTGATAATCATCAAAAGCTCACATCCACGCCGGTGTAGCATGAGTTGTTGTCATGGTTACAACATATTTTCTCTTCCTGGATGGGAGCTGTCAATCAGCAAAAATAGCTGCTGCGGTTGGAGCCAGGAGGAAAAAAAGGGGTCAGCAACAGCCCCCAAGAGCCATTGGGTTTTAATGGTATTCCATTTGTACACTGGCCCCTCTGTGTCCAGCTATTCATTGTTTGGATAGCAGCTGTAGCCTAATGCAGCAAGGACCCGTGAGCAGATTGAATGGTATTGATCAGGTCTTCGGACATACATTTGGTCTTCCAGAGTTGTGTGTGTGTGTGTGTGTGTGTGTGTGTGTGTGTGTGTGTGTGTGTGTGTGTGTGTGGTGTGTGTGTGTGTGTGTGTGTGTGTGTGTGGTGTGTGTGTGTGTGTGTGTGTGTGTGTGTGTGTGTGTGTGTGTGTGTGTGTGTGTGTGTTGTGTGGTGTGTGTGTGTGTGTGTGTGTGTGTGTGTGTGTGTGTGTGTGTGTGTGTGTGTGTGTGTGTGTGTGTGTGTGTGTGTGTGTGTGTGTGTGTGTGTGTGTACACACAGTGGCATAGGAATGGAGTTGTTCAGGCTAAAACACAAGTGGCTATTTCATGGTCGGCTGGAGATGCCATGTCCATGTCTGTCAAGGCCACAAGAGAAAGGAGTGGGGGGGCTGAAGATTCTGTTAAATTGGTATATGTCCAACTGTCGATTTCAGATTGGAAGCTGTCAATTTGTGACCTGGAAGAAATGGTTTGCAGTCGTAAAAGGTTGGTTGACCTGGCTTAATGTATGCTAATGACCTTTAGCAGGAGCCCCTGACTCTAATGTTATTATTTTCATTAATATGATGATTTGTAATTGACGATGAAATTGTAAAAAATTATACATGACCTTTTATTGGTGTCAAAAGAAGACGTTGGCATTTTAGTAAATGAATCCAAAGCCAATAGCCTGTTAGCTTAGCTTAATTTAGCATCAAAACTGAAAAAATGGGGAACAGCTAACAAAACATCATGCCCTTTTGTTCTAATATCTCTGACGAAATCCAAGAAAAAAGGAAAATACAACTTTTTGAACCCTCTTTATTCACTTTCTTGCCACCAAGAAACCACTTTTATTTGTATTCATTAAATATAAAGCTACAACCAGCAGTCGAGAAGCTTAGCATAAAATAAACAATGGCTTTGTCTAGAGGTAATACAATTTGCCACACATTTTTCATTCTTAATGCGATAAAAAAACGTAGGGAGAAGATGTATATTGATACTTTTAGACCAGCGGTTTTCAAAGTGTGAGGCGCGCCTCCCCGGCAGGGGGGATTTCAGGGAGGGGCAGCGTGAGAGAAAAATAACGAGAAACAGTGAAATCTACCTAGTGAACTTCAGCTAACTTTATACGAGCGGCAACATGGATCGATTTTTTGTGAAGTTACCTAAAGTGAGAGAGGAGACAGCGTCTGGCAGAAAACGGAGGAAGTATGACCACGATTATTTGAAGCTAGGATTTTCATGGACCGGTCCTGGCAGGGGCGGACTGGCCATCTGTGTGTTCTGGAGAATCACAGAACGGTCGGTCGTCAGCGGGCCTTTGACGGCCTGCTCGGTTCGCTGACGGCCGGCACCGGCCCTTTATTTTTATTTTAATAATACTTACTTTGATCAAAAGCAAATACCGGTCAAGGCTGCAGCCAGAGGATGATCTGCGTTTATTCCTGTCTACATTGCATCCACGCATCATCCGCCTGTCCGCATCAAAGACGCAAACTCATTGTTCCCACTAAAGTAGGGGTGAGCGTAATAAGGAGGCAAAGTTGACCTTCAGTGTGTTGCCGGGAGCATATAAGGATTTATCCACGATGCTGAAAATGTAAAAAAAAAATTAAAACGTAAAGATTAAAAGGTTTTAAAAAGTTGTTGTTTAATGTTTAAAGGAGGTGACGCTACTCAGCCAATCAAATCGGTGCAGTCAGTGAGTCAGCACGATAGATTCAAACACACACAGAGATGAGACAAGAAGAGAGAAACAGTCGGAGTAATTTCAAATGGCGTGCTCAAAGAAGAGAAAGGTAGACAGCGAAAACAGAGCATTTAATGAAATGTTCTCTTACTGGACCTCTTTGAAATGCAATTGAATACCCCTGCATTATAGCAATAATAATAATAGCAATAATAACTGGGAGGGGGTGCGCGGCTGTTCGTATGTTCTCTGAGGGGAGTCTCACCTTCCACAGTGTGGTTTGAAAACCCCTGTTTTAGACAAAGCCAGGTATAGTTGTATCCAGTCTATAAACTAAGCTAATCTACTGCTGACTACAGCGAAATATATTTAGTATTTATCTTCACATTTAAATCAATGAAAGAAATAACAAATATCCAAAATGAAAAATGTCTTTATATTTAACTCAAAACTTTGTCTGGATTTGGTCAGAAGTATTAAAATTGTGCACATAAGAGCCTGACAAAACCAAGGTCCATGCATTCCGAAAATCTTGTTGGAAAAGCCCACAAGGCTGACTTCTTATGATCTTACAGATACCAACCGCTTGCATTGAATTTCATCATATGTTTTATTGTGGCCCTGTAAAGAAAGTACTGTGATTGTGTTCTCACTCATTTGCCATTCTAAGCTTCAGTGTGATTGTAAAGGATTATTGAAAGTGTTGGTGTCCAAATGTATTCTCTCAAAGCCTCTTTGCAGCTAGTCTAAACTTTGGGTCAAGGCCTAAAATTGCTCTCCACTAAATAACAAATGTAACAGTGTGTTTTGGTGATCCCAGGCTGCAGCACTATAACAACCCTGGATGTATGCAGTCAAATATTGATTCTTTATTGTTAATCTCTAGAGAGTGGAGCAAGGGAATTCTCCTCCATGGGCATAGGAAACAAATCATTACAGTGTTTCTGGCTCTTGTATCCAGGTATAACCAGCTCGAGATTTGGCAACTGTGCCAAGATGTCCACTGACTTGCCTGAACTGGTTGAGCCCATAGTTTCTAGGTTTGGCATGCACACGTGGACGCTGATACACAGATACACAAGAAAATGGCAGGCTAACTATCACACACATTGCACAACAACTTTCAAACATGCTGGGACGCACGTTAGACAAACACAAACCGAGACCTACATACACAAGCATATATGGTGACACTATACATGCATATTTCTCATCAAATTCTCAGTCAGCCGCTCACAGGTTTCACAATAGTTATGCAAAAACAAACTAGAAGCAAACATGTAAGCAACAACGTTAAAACAATCCAAACCGAAGATTGAAAATCTACCTTTTTTTCTGCCGTGTTGACAGCATGTTTGTTTTTGTAACCAACAGGCATGCAGACCAAGACTTTACTCCCAATGTAGCTACATACTGTATAAGGTGCCTAATGATGGATATTAATGATGATATTGATATCATGAGTATATATAATAAAGATTAATCTTCATGTATACATTGTTCTCTGTTTATTCTTTGTGGGATTGGCCCTCTATGTTGCAACTCGTGTGTGTGTGTGTGTGTGTGGTGTGTGTGTGTGTGTGTGTGTGTGTGTGTGTGTGTGTGTGTGTGTGTGTGTGTGTGTGTGTGTGTGTGTGTGTGTGTGTGTGTGTGTGTGTGTGTGTGTGTGTGTGTGTGTGTGTGTGTGTGTGTGTGTGTGTGTGTGTGTGTGGTGTGTGTGTGTGTGTGTGTGTGTGTGTGTGTGTGTGTGTGTGTGTGTGTGCGTGTGTGTGCGTGCGTGCACGTGTGTGTGTGTGTGTGTGTGTGTGTGTGTGTGTGTGTGTGTGTTCTCGGCAGGCCCCTCCGGCTCCCTGGCTAAATGATGCACTGCGTGCTAATAGAACCGTCCTTAGGGCAGCAGAGCGGAAATGGTGGAAATCCAAACACCGTGACGACCTCCTAACCTATCAAGCTCTCCTCTCCTCTTTCTCTGCTTCGATCTCTCAGGCAAAAAGCACTTTCTTTCAAGATAAGATCCAATCTTCCTATTCCAATCCTAAAAAACTATTTTCCATCTTCTCCACCCTCTTGGACCCTCCAAAAGCTCCTCCCCCCTCCTCACTTCTGTCAAGCGACTTTGTTACCCACTTTGAAAAAAAGGTTAATGATATTCGCTCTTCTTTTTCTGACTCACCTTTACTCACCGCTGGGTCACCAGACCTTCCTTCCACCAACACACTAACCTCCTTTTCCCCTCTCTCTCCAAGTGAGGTTCTTACCCTCATTACCTCTGCCCGCCCTACCACCTGTCCTCTGGACCCTATCCCTTCAAACCTCCTTCAGACTATCGCTCATGATATTCTACCGTTTCTCACCCATCTCATCAACACTTCTCTAACTTCTGGTCACTTTCCAAACAGTCTCAAGGAGGCAAGAGTAAACCCTCTCCTAAAGAAACCCACTCTCAACCCGTCTGATGTTATAAACTACAGGCCTGTCTCTCTCCTCCCGTTCCTGTCTAAATCACTTGAACGCGCTGTCTTTAAACAACTCTCCTGTTATCTCAATCAGAACAACCTTCTGGATCCGCACCAGTCTGGTTTCAAGGCAGGTCACTCCACAGAAACTGCTCTCATTGCTGTCACGGAGGAACTGCACACTGCCAAAACTGCATCCCTCTCCTCTGTCATCATCCTGTTGGACCTGTCTGCTGCATTCGACACGGTGAATCATCAGATCCTCCTTCGCACTCTCCAAAAACTTGGAGTTTCTGGCTCTGCACTTTCCCTCCTCACCTCATACCTGAAAGACCGTACCTACAGGGTGACTTGGAGAGGG